AGAAGAGGAGGGAAGGCCAGGCGATCTGCGTCAAGAAGAATGAAGACTCACTCCTAACGTGGCGTTGGTTGGTATCTCGTGACTGCCGGGCTGGAGTCCCGTAGACGTTAGACAAGCCTGGTTTGATATGCTTGTTGATATCATCAATACACATTAGCCGAGGGGGGGAACACGTTAGTTAATTTGCCACAATGCAAAAAGCATAAGATATTAAACATTGCAGGTGACGAAAGCTAAAAAAGTAACATAATGCTAGGATCACATTATACATTGAATCGAGATCGTTGTTGGTGAGAGAAGCTAAAGGGGAGGAGAGGGACAAAGGGACTTATAACACAAACACCATTGAGATCAGCTTCTCACCATGTCAGCTAACGTATCCAACCAAACGTGTTCATCGTCCTTCGGACTCCAGCCCCGCAGTCGGCAAACACCAACCGACCCTAAGTTCGAGGGGAGGGATTTCATTCCTCTGGAACCAGTCGTCACTTGACCTTCCCTCCACTTCCTCTACCCAGATTCCAGGCGCGTAAACAACGCACGATGCAGGAGTCGGTGTGCTGGCATGAGAAATTGGTGGCCCAGCCATCGGAGCCTGGTGCGTGATAAAATGGTGCTGAGCGGTTCACTAGCTTTTCCTGCACCAAATACGCGACGTCGACCATGCTCATTGTTCACGCGGTGTTCCCACCAGACATGAGCTATGCTACGAAGGTAGCGATGGTCGAACTTGTTGACATGGCGCAGAGCCGCGCTTAATGGCGTTTACATTGTGTTTCTCTTTCCTTCCCTATTCCGCTTAGCTTTCCCCTGCGGTCACAATCTCACACTCCACGCGCAATACGATGTTTAGCATTGCACTACTTGTATTATAGATATTATATTCTTAAGAGTTCATCATCTTGCTTTTTCATATATTCTATCTTTATGTATTGCGGTAGCATAGTGGGTTGCGCTTCTCACCTTCAGCTAACGTGTAATGGTGATGATGCAATGACTACCCACTTTTTTCACCGCTAAAGATTGATGACTTACTGATGATTGATCTCACAACTCTGTTCTGTACTATTTAGTGCTGCGGCGAAGTATTCTCTAACCGGCGCTTCTCGGATATCGTTCACATATCGAAAAATTTCCATGACACGTCTTCTGAAAACCACCACAGTATTATGCTCATCTTTATTACCTCCAAGCTGTTTATTGGTTCACTTATCCTCATAGGGGTCGAGCCAGTGACAATTATACTGGCTTCCACGTCTATGGCATGCTCATTGATCACGTTTTCACGCTTCATTGAACATCGCACTGACCAATCTACCATCATAGTAGTCTTCCTTTACTTTGAGATTGTCTTTACTTCATTTCGTCCTACCTTTTAGCGTCAAAGCCTTATTTTTCTAGTGTACTGGAGTCCTGTTTTCTCTCTTGAACCCCATACCACTACTCCTGAGTCCGTATGAGGGTTTTCTGAAGGTAACTTCTTAAGTTTATTGCGAAAGGTAGAGTACCTAAAGGACTATTTCTCTCCTACCCACTTCAGTTTCTCCTAAGGTAGCAGTTTTGTTAGTAAACTGACACTACTTTTTTCGTCCAACTTGTTTTTTTCCTCGAGTCCATTCCCTCACTCAGCTTGTGGGTCTCGTCGACTTTCCTAAGTCTCGATTGGTTTGCTTGTTAGAAAGACAGGTTTAACCTGTTCCCGTTGCCCTGGAACGACCTATAACCAGTCATATTAGGATCAAGCGAGATGAAAAGAGCAGTGCCATAATATGCGGCAGAACGTCATTATCACTCACCATAAGCGTTGGTCCAGTGCAGGTTTCTCTAAACTAGATTGTCTAGAAAGTCAAGTTATTCATCTAATCTCTGCTACACTTCTTATTATGTTCACATTTATGGACTATTTGATTGTCATCCTTACACCTGGTGAAATTCGATGTAACTGGTACTTAGCTCAGAGCATTTTTTACCCCTTTCTCGAAGGACTTAGTGTTGGTTTAACCGCTCTGTTCGTCACCATATAGCTCATTAAAGTTTCTTTAGTCAACTTTTTTTAATATTGCGTGCCTACTGGTCCTTAATGTGGGGCGACGGTTTACATACATCAACGATCCATTAGGCTACGCTGGATGGCAAGTTCTGTATACCTTCAGAGCTGCTCACACTAGTTGAATTAACTGTTTGAGGTCAGACGAATCCAGTATCAGTGTCTTCCATTTCCGGGGTTAGAGAGAATTCCTTGGCTATCTTTCGTCATAGTCTGGTTATGGTAGGCAATAGTCTACGCGTTGTTGACTCAACACAATTGCCATACAGTACAATTGCCACGCGTAGTCTCTGAGTGTAACGGAACACTAACCAGCACTCAATGGATTACTACTTATCCCCTCTACCAGGTGACTTCTGGTCAGAAAGGCGAATCTACCAATCCCCACCTGCGGTTGGTCTTTGACAGGTGCGTAGCATGCTATAATTGAGCTGCGGTGGATCCAGTTGCTTCGGTTCAAGTCATCATCATAATACTCATACTGCTATTACTCCCACTACAAAATATCTGTTTGTTCGGAAAGTTATATCGTTTTTTGTATAAAACTGAAGGATGGCTTTCTTATATTGAATAAATCTTTTATTGAATTATATATTGTCCATTCTGGTCCAATACCTTTTGTCATCTTTTTGTCAGTAGCATGATTTCACGTTCATAAAAGGTTTTTTCTTTGCTGGCAAAAATCTGATCCAGGTACTTTTTGACATCCTCATTTGAAGTAAAGGTTTTACGTCTAAAATATCTTATAGAGACAGGAACAAATAATAGTCAAAAGGCGCCAGGCAATGTATCCCATCCAACTTGTAAAAGCTTGTGGCGGGTTACCAAACTTGCATGAGGTCTCGCATTCTCTTGGTGGAACACTACACCTCACCTATTGATTAAGTCTGGTCTTTTCTGTTTAAATGAATCATTTAATTTGTCCAGCTGCTGACATTACACTTCAGTATTGATCGTCGTGTTGTCCGGTAGAAGCTCAAAAAGCGATTCCTTTGAAATCTCACCAAACAGATAGCATCACCTTTTTTGATGAATATCGGCTATCGAGGTGGTTTGAGCCGGTTCATCTTTTTTCCTCCATGATCTCTTGCATTTAACCTTGTTGTAGACAACCCATTTCTTGTCATGATACGCTTCAAAATGAATCATTTTCTTGAGGTTTCAGAAGCAAATCACACGTCAATGCGACGGCACAAATTTCTTTCCGTACGAACATGAGAAACCCATATGTCGAGCTTTAAGATGAAACCTAGGGTTTTCAACTGTTCACTAACGGTCGAATTCGATAAATTTAATCTCAGTGATCTTACGATTTGTTATTCACCGGTATGCATCAATTAATTAATTAATTGTTCAATCAGTTGACCAATCAAATAATCATTTACTTACTTTTGCGCATCAACTTTTGCACTGGCGTTCTGTCAATACAACTCCATACACATGCGATACTTTTTCTTGCTGGAACATATTTTTACCTTTTTGATAGTAACAAATTAAACTATGTGGAAAATGTTGCTTTTCGCTTCCCATATTTGAAAGGGAACTAATCAAAAACTACTACGTATAATCAATCAAACTTTTGCACCAGCAAGCCTTGCTATATCACCTGTCAAAATATATAATGGTTATGCGGATTAAGTGTGAAATTAGTTGTGAAAAATTATTACTAAAAAATAAAAACGAAGAAAACGAACTTACTTTCCGAACAACCTAATAATAATGGCGATACTAATGATGGATGAGTCAAAGGCTCCGGATGGAGTCCTTCAAGCTCGCCTCCACTTGACTTCAAACTACTCTTAAGGTCCAGAGTTGGTCAATCCCGAGTACTGGACAGCCACAGAGTATCATCTGCTCGTTTCTATTCTTTTTTCTTTTTTTTCTTTCTTCTTTCTGTTATCCTTTAATTTCTCGGGTAATCAGTAGGAGACTGTCACCTACTTCGTAATTACTGATGGCGATGCTTCCAACTTGTCCTTCGGAACAAGTGCATTGGTTCATTCGGTGTCCACACTTTGGGTTAGATAAGTCAACAGACAGCGCCGCCTCTTATTATTCACTCACTTGTAATTGATAGATGCCGCCTCCGAAACCTAAATGTTAGGAACATTGTAACGAATCTTGAATTATCTGAGTATGCATCTCTCAACAATGGCCATATTTTTCTCTGGAAACACTAGGTCGATGACTCCAGGTTTTTCTAGTGTCAGTATGCACCCAAAACAAGTGTTGAAGTGAATCTTGACAAGATACCAGTGGACAGCCCCATTTTTGCGGTTTGACTTTGGACCCTCGGCGGTGTTAGTGAGCATCGTTTAACGACAAGCTCCCTTTTATTGTTTGGATGTGTACCTCCACTCCAAGGCTGTCAAAAATATCTTTGATCATTAGCCGTTATCTCATCTGTATGGCGAGAAATACCGATGTAGTGATTGTTGCTTGTGCAAGTAGTTTCGTTCGCTGAACCCCGAACATCGCCTAGTTACAGTGTCAGTGTATGCTAACGGTTAGCGGCAATTGACTTCTGTAACTACATTGTCAACCAAATTAGAGCACGCCAATGAATTGTCCACTTATTTTTGATGTACTTGGTGTGATCAGATGAATCATGTTTAAAGTTGTATAACTTCTTCTTGGAGGCGACTGTACTCCTTTCATTGAATGTGATTGTTAAACATACCTGCCCTTACTGCGATCTACCTAACCTGCTGCCTGTTGGTGATGTGTTCTTCCTTATAATTCATTTGATCCTTTCTTTCTCCAATGCGTTATCCTTAAGCGAAAGTGTGAATAACTCTTCTTTGAGCACTCATGACTAGTATTTTATAGAAATATAAGTGCTGGGGATTTTCAGCACATTATCATAACACTGTCAAAAATTGTTTAGAAAATGTCTTACTGTTACTCGCAAGTCATTGCGATTCCTTTTTCTAATTTTTTCGGTCTTCTCAAGCTTCGCTGCAATATTCAATACAGTCGCCTTCAACTTGGTTGCTTTTCTACTTGCGCTGTCCCATTTATCCGCGGTGTTCGGTGATCCTGGCTTGATGCCTCTTGGTCAGTATCCCCTGACGCACGATGGTTCCTTTCAGGTATGTGTTTTCGTTTTCCAACCGTCATTTGTTGTACTTGCATATTCTGGTGATAGCTGTCTCTTTTCGCCACTTCTGATAATGGTGAACTCAAATTACCAGCCACTGAGGATATCGAGTTTGTTTTCCTAAACTATCGAGCGTCAGTGCAGTCAATCCAAGTTGATGTGATTCAGTTAGTTTTATTGATTTACTATTTACTCGTGGTTTTCTGTTTGAATATACAAGGGTAGATCAAAAAGTTCTCGACCTGACATAGAAAGAAGCCAACTATTCAAGTCTTGCTTTATTACTGTTCAACAGAATATCTCATAAGTTGAATACACTTAGTCCAGTGGCGTTCAAGCATCGCAATCTCTCTGTGGAAAATGTTTGAAGGTTGTTCCTCTAAACGCAACTCTACAACACTGATCAACTTGTCGTCGTCGGCAAATGTGTGATCCGGAGGTGGGATTTTAGTTCAGGAAACAAATAAAAGTCTGATGGAGCCAGATCTCGTGAACAAGCGGGGTGTGGCAGCAATTCATGGCCACATATGGCTGCTTCTGGCACGGGCACTTGAGAAGTGTGGACAGGTGCGTTGTCATACAAAAGAAGAGCTACTGCGAGCTTCCCCCGTTTTTTGACTGCTTGTTTCAGTTGGCGTAATTCTGAAGCCTACTACTCGAGGGTGATGGTCTGACCCCTCAGCAAGAAGTGTATCATGATTATACCTTTACTGTCCTTACCAGCGCACCTCACCTGACGGAACTTATTTGGGGCGGAGAATTACGGTGCTTTCACTGTTTACCACGAATCTTTGACTCGGGTTCAAAGTGATGTACCCAAGTTGAAAAAATTCGCGGGAGTTAAAAGTTGCCTTAAGTTTTCCGCCCTGTTCAGTTTCTGATCGGGCGTCAGCATTCTTGGCACCCATCTTGTTATCACCACCGCTTTACTCCAATTGGGTGTGCGAACCGTCGGTCTCTGCGTTGCTATAGTTACGGCTTCACTCTGATTGGCTGTTCGATTCCGGCCCCGGACTGACTGACAAAAAAGATGGTATCCTTGATTTCGGTTCCACAAGGATGCAAATTGAACGATTAGTAGACCACCTTAATAATGTTCACGCCAACCTGAAGGTGACTTTTGAATTCGAATCGAATAGGCGTCTTCCGTATCTCGACATTCTCATGAGTCACAGGGATAATGGGCTCATTAAGCGATCTGTATGCCGGAGGCCAACATGGTCCGGCCAATACCTACACTTTCCCAGCTTTTCACCCATGGCACACAAGCGCGCGCTGGTGAAAACATTGTTCACTCGCACCAGACGTATCTGCTCCAACGACTGCCTGGCTGAGATGTTTGAGCTGATCACTAAAACGCTTATGTAGAATGGCTACCCAAAGCGATTCCTAAACAAACATTGCCAGGTTAGATCGCTTAAAGAAATGGTGTCGACAGCTCCAAAAAAGCATACACCGAGCTGCCATTCAAGGGCGACACTGCAGCAAGAAAGACAACTAAATGCATAGTTTCTGCCATTCAGCGTACGTAATGGGCTGCGGAGGTGGTAATTATCAACAGAACCCGAAAATTGCCGTTATCTTCCTCAAATGATTATGAACCCCTCGGCGCCAAATCACATTGTGTTTGCCAATTCCTGTGTGACTGCGGCATCAGTTACATCGGCAGAACCGAACGGGCTTTAGATTCCAGTGTAAAGGAACACATACCAAACTGGGTTCAGCGCGAAGTTACTCAATCCACCTCCGACAATACGTGTTCGCGTAAGCCGCCGGCGTCCTCCATAGGCAGGCACGTCTTGGCGACTCGTCACCGGATTAATCCCTTATCGGCGTTCCGGATCTTGTTGCGTCATACACATTCACGCCTTTTGCGATTTGCTGAGGCCGTTGCGATAAGCCGAATTAAACCAGCTTTATGTGTCCAAAAGCAATTAGTTGTCAACGTGCGGTTGCCGTGGTCTTAGTGCCAACAACAGTGACCACAACCCTAAATTTGATTGGCTTGACTGTACCCTATAAGAATTATTAAAAGATTTCCCTGTTGTTGTATTGGTACTGACTAGACAATACGAAATGCTAGCATCTGCCAGTATTCGTCTTCTCATTTCGTTATTTAAAAAAACAATAGCGGTCTCTCGTACTGTGTATTTGCCGGACGACAAGACAAAACGTGGAGCATGCGGGTTACATTTATTTATTAGGAGACCTTCTTAAATATCCTTCTTTCCTTTTCCTTCCTTACTTGCCAATAATAGTATCGGAATCTTTAGGAACCTTCTTTTCATTGATAAACGTGACTGTTTGAAGAAATGTTGACGGAATCCGCGGGTTCTTGTTGAAAACAGGCACTTCCGGTCTCTTCGTTAGGAGGTGCCCCACCTAACACATCTTGCAGTCAGCTTTCTCGTCCTCAAGATATTCGTTAAAACATTATGCACTGTGCCGTAACTGCTGCTCATAGCTTTGGACATTTGAGAAGTAGTTAACCTTATATCATTCACAATCATTCGGTGAATTGCTTCCACTTGATCATCACACGTCGAAGATTTTGAGCGGCCAGACCCGTGGCTCGTCTTCAGTGATCTCTCTGCCCTTCTTTGTATTCGCCGCCTTCTTAACAGTGAAATAAGGAGAGTCCTCACCAAGTGTCTCTAGCATATCAGTATAGATTTCCTTTGGCGTCATACTCTTTCTGCAGGTACTTGGTCACAGCTCCACTTTCAGATTTGTCCATTTTCAGAAATTGAGCAACCAAGGTCAGTTCAATGGATCATCACCTGCAAGCAAATAAAGATAGAAACTTGAGATTTGGCACTGATACTTTCAGAATGTGATACTATTACAAAATAATCGTACTTTTCATTCACTTCATTTACTTCTTAGTCGAGCCGAGGACGTTTTGATCCACTGCTTACCCCATTCCTTTATGGCTTGGGTTTCAGTGGCTTCCCTTTTAGTATCGCCACTTAGAGGAAATTTTTCCGCTCTACTTTTCTCCCCGTGGTATAAATACTTGTGATCAGCCAATTATGATCAGTCTGTGATTAACCGGTTATCTTTTTCGCCTGATTTAGCTTGACTTTTACATCGGGTGACCTGGTGTCTAAAAGCATAGTGCTTTCGCACAACACTTCCAACGAATCTTACTCGATCCTGGTCCATATGGTTGAGGTCGCCAATCATGTGATGTGGTTACTCTGATACACCTTTATCGTCGGGTGGCTTTCTGTGTCATGTGACTTGACAATCGGACATTTCACTGTCCGGCACACTTATGTCTGTTCGGATGGCTCTACGCCTCATCAACCGCGGACATTACCGACACATAGGAAACTCGATGTTAAGCACTACTCTGTTGTGTTTGGACGCCATGCACTAAGCTGTGATGTTCGTCCCCCCACCACATGTATCACTCGCTCACGGTTGGCTTACCCGACCACGACAAGTACCATTGTCATCCAAGGTGATTTGCCGCCTGTGGTGTGTGCACCCTAAATCGTTCATGTTACGTAGCAATTATTCTGCTTGTTTTCCTACCATTTGAGTGATGTGGGCAGTCAACAATGACATTCGTTTTTAACAGCGTTTAATATCTGCACCCTAAATTCATGATCGCCCAGATAATTTAGTTGTAACTTACACCAGGAGGTTACACTACTTTCTGATCCTAGGTGGCACAAGTTGAACCATAACCGGTTAGCTCGGATACCTTCTGAGTCCAAGGCTCGAGATGTGGTGTCTTCTTCGACCGCTTTCTTACAGCTACCCGGGATTCTCTCGTCCACAGGTGGTGGTACTGTCCCTTGTGTATAATTGGCTCATCTGTTTGAGCACAAGCATCGAACGAGGTGACTGTTTCATTCCACTCACTCTGATCGCCTACACTTCCTCTATACCCGGGAAGAGTTGCTGCAGCGTTGGCGCAAACTACTGTTTCCACATTAATGGCAATCAAGTTTCTGGTTTTCGCTCCAATTCATCGCATCCATTTTGGACATAAATCTTCCTACTACTGAGGAGCAAATGGTTTTTTACCCAACCTGGATTTAGGGAACACTTTTTCATTGTGACAAGTGCTAATGGAACTTTTCACGTGCCACTGGCCAACCATACCATCGATTTCCATAACTCGTTGCGCTTAGATTACCGCTCTGTTTCGTTTGATACTCATCCGGAAATTTGCTCACAAGATATGCCTGTCCACCTTGCTAACACCACAAGTTACACGATGGTTTGCGGCACTTTATCGGATACCTTTGCCTCAGCGAGTAGAGTTCACTTAATTTGTTCTTGTTAGGAAGGAATACGCTAAGCGAACAACCGAGGCTCCCATCGCCGTTACGGAGCCAAGGCGTGGCAGGCGATCCAAACTCACCCGCACTGATTGGGGCGAACAGATAGCCAACCGGGTGAAGCGGCCAATTAACACGAGGGTGGCATTCCTTGATTGGCCGTAAGTTGGCCCTTCCAGAGTTTTCCACGTGAGCTTTAAATACCATTCATGAACTTTTGATTTTACCTTTATGATGAATGGTGTGGTTAGTTAATACATCCCTGTTCTTCTGCTTGTCCGATCCGGTCTTCTCTCTGTCCTGTGAGGGGTCCATCGACCTCGAGTTTCGATTGAAAATCAAACGTCAATTCAGGCAAGAGATGATCACTTCAGTTGGCGACGGGTTGAACCCTAATCAAGATATCCATATCGGTTGACGAGCTCAAGGCCGTTCTGCTGCAGCAGCAAGCACAATTTGTGGCATCCCAACTCAGACTGATCGAAACTTACACGCCAACTGTCAATCCAGACCGGTTCACAGTCTATAACCGTCAAGCCGTCCGCATCGGTAGACGCCATCCCTGACAGCATTACCGAATTTTCATACGATCCTGATGCTGGCCTCATCTTTGAATCCTGGTTCAAGCGTTATGAAGATGTGTTCCGCGTTGAACTTGGAAACCATTATGACGGTTGGAAAGTACGATTGCTGTTAAGGAAACTTGGAACAGCAGAACACTCCAGGTATGCCAATGTTATTCTGTCCAAGAACGCTCGAGATTACGCTTTTCATGAGGCTGTCAAATGCTTGGGCCAAATACTTGGAGAGCAATCATCCATCTTCGACAAGCGATGTCAATGTCTAATGATAACCAAGATGAGCGCTGATGACTACCTTCCTTACGCTGACATCGTCAGTCGCGAGTGCGAAAAATTCGACATCACAACCACCACGGCAGATCAGTACCAATGCCTGATTTTTATCTGTGGTCTACATTCCCCACGGGATGCAGCGGTTCGCACCATACTGCTGAGTAAACCCGAACAAGACCAGCAAATGACACTACAGACCATCACTACTAAATATCAAAGATTGCTGAACCTCAAGCATGACACACCTTTGCTGGAGAGCATCAGTCAATCCCAAGTCTTAGTGTATTGAAAACCACTTCAAAGAAACCGCTTCGAAGTGAAACCGGCCAAGAAAAACCCACAGCTAACCCCAAGCCCCTGACTGCCTGTTGCAGCTGTGATGAGTGGCATTTTGTTCGAGTGTGTCCATTCCTGAAGCACGTTTGCCGCCAGTGTCATAAATAAGGCCATAAGGAAACGCACTACCAATGTAGATGGCGTGCTAGGCATTCACGACCGAATTCGAATGTTCCCAAAAGATTCAGCAGCTATAGTACAGATCAAGCGGCCTACTCTGATATACATGTGGCTCGCAGAAAGTACATCGGAGTTCACCTGAACGGGTAATAAGTGCGTCTTCGGCTGGATACAGCCTCTGACATCACAATTATCTCCCCTCATATCGCACTGCTGCCTTGTAGGTTAGATCCTGGTTCAAAGGCTCGGGGTGGGGACCCCTAAGACAACCCTCTACTTCGACCTGCGCAACTGGGTAATATCTCGCCTCACTGACGAATCATGAATGGATCCTCCCTTTCCCACCCTTAATAAAAACATCAAAATACTCACAAACTACGAGTGGAAAATGGACAAAAATTTGTTTTCTTCATTTATTGTAACGCTGTTTTCCTATTCCGCCATAGTTTCGATGGCACAATATCTGTACACCGATTGATATATATATATATATGTCCCGCAGAAATTGGCAGTATATTGATGCTCCGCCAGTCAGCGTAACGATACATGTTGCATTTAACGCTTCCGGAGGTCAACTAAATCTCATTGATGAGCTGCATTGTGAAATGATTTTTGGTGCTGCTCGGGCAAACTGAATCATGTACATTACGGACTCGACTGAATCCGTAAGCTCCACCTGTCTGACATTCCCTTGAATCAAGTCTGTAATACCCTCCTGCTCAGATATACGGGGCCCTATTCGGAGGGGAATGAATCAAACAATAAGCTGATCAAGCAGCTACAAAAAAATTCCAGTCTGTGTTTCGCAACGGCTTGGAAAGATGCAGAAAGATCAAAGCAAGTCTTTCAGAGACGGTGCGAAACCGATATTCCGACCCAAAAGACCGGTGCCATACGCTGCGCTTCTGATTGTTGATGCGGAACTTGATCGTTTGGAGCGGGGCGGCATCATCCAACCTGTGAAGTATTCAGCATGAGCAGCACCTATTGTTGTCAGTAATAAGACTAATGGAACCATTCGTATTTGTGCTGACGACTCTACGGGATTGAATGCTGTTTTGAAAATGTGCCAGTATCCTTTGCCAATCCCAGCAGATTTATTTACTAAGCTCATTGGTGGCGCTTACTTTGCAAAGCTAGATTTATCAGATGCTTATCTTCAACTTGAAGTCGACGATGCTTCAAAGAATTTGCTGCCAATCAGTACGCACCGTGGTCTTTACCAGTTTGCCGTTTGGTGTCAAATCAGCTCCCGTGATTTTTCATCAAATTATGAATACAATGTTAGCTGGGTTATCTGCAGTCACTGCTTATTGGGACGACATCATCATCAAAGGGTCTACCCATCGAGAGCTGGCAGAAAGACTGGAAGCAGTTCTCCACCACGTTAATGACTATGGGTTCCGCTTAAAAACAGCAAAGTGCAACACCGCCATGAAGTGTGTAAGATATCTTGGCTTCATCATCAACAAGGATGGACGTCGTTCGGATCCTTCCAACATAAGTGTCATCAAACAGATGCCTCCACCTGACAATGTCGCGAAGCTCAGATCATACTTTGGGTTGATCAGTCATTACAGCTCTCTTGTGCCCGAAATGCATCGGCTACGAGGACCGCTGAATGAATTCCGGTAAAGGATCGCAAATTTGTATAGTCTCCTGAATGTCAAGCCGCATTCATTGATGTCAAGCCTATATTGTGTTCCGACCTATTGTGAATGCATTTCATCCCGGAGCTAGAGATTCTAGTTGCTGTTGACGCGTCAGACTACGGAATTGGAGCAGTCATATCCCACATTGTCCCCAGTGGTTCGCAGAAAGCTGTGGCACATGCAGCCAGATCACTTACCCCAGCGGAACGCAACTATGGGTAGCTCGAGAAAGAAGCTTTGGCTATAGTGTTTGCAGTCAAGGGATTTCACAAAATGCTCTATAGACGAAAATTCACGCTGTTCACGGGACACAAACTCTTGGTCGCAATCTTTGGATCAAAGAAAGGCATTCCAGTCTGCACGGCTAGTCGTTTCCAACGCTGGGCAACGGCTCTACTTGGTTACTATCTCGTCGTCAAATATCAATTTGCACACAACATTGGTCAGGCGAATGCGTTATGTCGTTTATTTAGTATACAGCATCAAGAACCAGAGGATTTGGTAATTGCTGGAATCTCCGTAGAACCCCAAGTAAATCAAATTGTGTTTGACCTTTTCGGTGTCTTACCAGTGACGTTCGAAATGGTGCAGGAAGCGACTCGTCATGATTCTACCCTACAACAAGTGATCAATTTCCACCTCAATGGCTGGCCAGAGAGTTACAACCCCGGAGCTTCAACATTTCCACCAAAGAAAGGAAGCACTATCAGTCGTCAACAATTATCTGCTGTTCTCAGATCGCGTCGTCCTTCCTGTCATCCTTCAAGATACCGTTCTCCGACAATTTCATACTAGCCACCCAGGAATGAATCGCATGAAATCGCTGGTACGAGGCTATGTATATTGGTCCCATGTAGATTCCCAGATCGAGTATTTAGCGAAGAATTCTCCCCGATGTGCCAGTGTCTCTAAACAGCCAATGAAGACGGAATTGCAATTCTAGCCATTACCAACGGGACCATGGTCCAGGGTACACGTCGACTTTGCGAGTCCAATTGACAGTCATCATTTCCTCATCGTTGTCGATGCCCACAGTAAATGGCCTGAGGTGATTCCAATGATGAAAACTACCGCAGGAGCCACTGTCTCTGCTCTCCGACAGGTATTTTCTCGTTTCGGTGTTCCCCATACGTTGGTTTCGGACAATGGTGCGCAGTTCACCTCCACTGATTTTGTTGTATTCGGTCACAGAAAGGTGCTCGTCCATATAAGGTCCACCTTTCCACCCACAATCAAACGGGTAAGCAGAACCCTTTGTGGATACACTCAAAAGAGCCTTGTTAAAAATGAAAGAACATACCTTGGCGGAGATATTTGACACACTTCTGCTGACTTAGTGCACAACTCCAAATCCGCATACACCAAACGCAAAATCCCCGACTGAAAGTTTGGTTCAAAGGAAAATCCGTGTGCCGCATGATGACCTCAGACCCAGAAAGGAACAAATACTGTCCCGCAACTTAGAGGTGGAACGCCAATACAACATTCGCCACAGTGCTCTAAAGCGAACTATTCAGGGCCAGCAAGTTCTGGCAAGAGATTATCGCATCCACTATCCCAAATGGGTTACAGGCTGTGTGCTATGTAAACGTGGTAACGTGATCTACGGTATCCAGGTGGGGACGGCGATTTGGGTGAGACATGCCAATCAGCTGCTAGATACTAGCTAGAGGTACTGACGAGCAACTGCAACAACAAATACCGGCAGCGTAATTACATCTGGATATACTGGCCGACGCAAGTGAAGCGAAGACCCAAACATGCCCCAACACATCAACCATAAGTTCCCCCCAAAACCTAGCAGCACAGAGACCGAAGCAGCGACATATATTCGTGTCACCCATGCAAGTCAAGCCCAAGCTGAAATCTACAACACAAGTCCAAGGAGGGAAGTGTTAGGAAGGAATACGCTAAGCGAACAACCGAGGCTCCCATCGCCGTTATGGAGGCAAGGTGTGGCAGGCGATCCCAACTCAACCGCACTGATTGGGGCGAACAGATAGGCAACCGGATAAGGCGGTCAATTAACACGAGGGTGGCATTCCTTGATTGGCCGTA